AGTCAGTCTCGGAAAACGCCAGTGCTCTGCACCATACCTTAGCAGCATATTAGTCATCTGATGTCTGAAGTGAGCCACTTCCATTATTATGGCTATGGCCAAAATAATGAAAGTGGCCCAGGTCTTTATACTCGGGTCTTTATCCCATTCAACAGCAAAGGGGGGACTACAACATTACAACATTACAAAAGTGTTCCAAAAAGAGGCCTTCCAGAAACTAGTTGCATCTAAATCATTTTTCGCGAGCTGAGGGCAATCACCACTGCTTGAACAAACTGTTTGAACTGTTCGAACCCTGTGGGTGGAGCCCAAACTTGACACCCACCATGAGTGTTCCTATCCTGCCGCCTGTACTCCTACCAAGCTTGAACGCCCTAGGGCCATGTTGACAATTTTGGCGCAAACCCCGCCCTCTGTGACCCGATCCTGCCACCCACCATTAGTGTGCCCATCCTGCCTTGGGTACTACCACCAAAATTGAACTGTCTGGGTTCACATGTACAGGAGTTATGATTTTCCGCTGAAACACTTATTTTGCACAAACCCCGTGAGCGAAGTCTGGTCCTGCCACCCACCGTATGTGTTCACATCCTGCCGCCTGTGCTCCTACCAAATTTGAACGTCCTAGGTCCATGGGGAGAGGAGTTATAAATTTCCGTACAAACAGACAGACGGACGGACAGACAGACGCGAGTGCTTTATATAAAGTAAGGTTATTGCTGCTACAACGAACTGTAGAATCAAAAGCCTCTCATTTGACATAAACGGTCATCGAACTTCGAGGTACCCAACAGTGTCCTTTCAGAGCCCTTCGAAAGCCGATGTTAAAGAGTTCCTTGTTAGAGAGCCATTTGTATCAATAGCATCACTTCCCTATAGATCTATTGCTGATCTTGCTAGCAGCTGATTAATCCTCAGTCGAATCACAAACTTACCCAACTCTTTGAAAGATTTCCGCTCTGGTGGTTTTTTAGCAGATTTTCTTTTCCTAGGCGAAAGTGAATCTCTTCGATTTTGATCTGCAATTTCTAATTGAATGGAATGAAATTATCCAGCTGCTCAGACAAGAGCTATTGGTGGAACGTGAAGAGTTCTAAGGTAACGAAGCTTCTAACCTGGACTGTTCCGTCGCTCCATATAAATTCTATTAATTCAATGTTGGCCACGCTATAATAACTAATGTAGTGAAAGGCTGCATTTCTGTAATCATATGAGTACAGGGCCGCTCGGCCTATTAAGGGATGGATGGTAATAGGCCGAGCGGCCCTGTAAAGCGTCAGAGGCGAACTTCTTCAGGATCGGAACCATGTTGTATGTTAGAGCTCATGTAAAACTGTTGGCAAGAAATCGCTGGGTCAAGGTCACAGTCCTCATTTAGTCGAACCCGGGCCACTTCTTTCCGCAACCTCGATTCACCCAGCCCATCAGAATGATGGTCTTGATTTAAAGGTGCTTGAAGAACCAGCCTATATCGCGGTCTGCATTGATCCATTTGAAGGAGATTAGCTTCGCAGTCGACGATACTTCTACATAGGGTACCTGTTTCAAGTGTACTAACAAAAAAGGTTGTCAGATTAGTGCGCTGTGGTTGAAGAATGCGAAATTTGTAGGATTTGTAAAACATAAGGCCTCTTGCAAATAACTAAGGAAGGATTGTGCAAGATTATGGCTACGGGAGAGCCATTACTCGTCTCATAACCTTCAGCTTTGATAGAAAGACCACACGCGTCTATGAGTAGGGTGATTCAGGTTACATTTGCTCAGCTGTTTCCGCCGTCTCCAAGTTGAGCAAGCAATCGGTGTTTTGGTACAAGTGACGTCAATGAACAGTTTTAGAATGTGCAACCCTTTTTAAAGAGTATAGGACAAGTTGAGAGTTGCTACTGTTTAGATGTCGGTTACGCCAAGCGCGGTATGTAACATTTCAGAACGGCTCTAGGAAAAATTTGGGATTTAAGAGCGACGACTCTGACAAAACTCGAGGCCAAATAAACTTGCCCCCGTAAAACACTCAAGCATCAAAGACAGTGAAGCCTAAAGGACGAGTGAGCCGAACATGAAGGTTGTTCGACGGAGATAGTTAAGCACTGCCCTGACACCACCTTCGACCCTAGCCTGATTACCGTTTTAGGCCGCTTCATAAATGCGAGCACAAGGAATGATCGTCATTTACATTATCATAAAATCAGCACTCATTCAAGAGCACACACTGTATAGAGCTGAAATGCTCAAGCGGTCGTACCCGTGAAGAGTGATTTCTGAAACCACTGCGGAATCATCTCAAGGAATCAGAACGGCGAAGAGTTAGGAGAAAAGCAGAAAAGATCGAATTTAGCACAGGAGCAGAGGCCGAGAGGTGTGGAGCTAGCTGCCTAACGATGCTTCACAGATGGGCCATAAACTATGGTTACTCCGCCTGGGCACGTTGGATCAATAGGTCGAAATTTCAGGTTTGGTAAAACGATCACCGCTCTCATTTTGCAGAAAGGAAGAGGATATTTTATGGAGCACATCTCCAACTGAATATTGTAATTTTGTGACAATGAGTTCATCTGCGGACCTTGTGAAATTCGGGTTGAAGCACTGCTCTACATAAAAAATGGAAGTGGGAACTCACAAAAGCAATAGAACGGGTATGCCGAACCGCGCGAGGTGAAAAACAGTCGAAAACTGAATTCACTAAATGTGTTTTCAGGAACAATGTTTACAAAAAAAGCAAAGATAAGGCTTTCCATTTTAATTTTATCAGTATACTACATATTTATACCCACCCAATCCAATCACACCCAATCGTCCGGCGTCAAAATCCAGGACTCCAATTTGGTATAATGTTCGTCTGAGATGATGAAAGCAATGACTTGTACAATGGCCCGGAACACAAGCTAACGTATTAGCCAATTACGCACACAAACCGTCACTCAAACTCTGAATCATTCCAATAACGATGTGATTTACGATTGAATAATTTTTCATCAATCAGAATGCCACGACGAGCAATGTTTTACCAATCCAGTTCCTGCTGTTTCCTGTTTAAGGAATCCGGTGAGTTCAGCGAGACAAGGCCAAAAGAAAGCAAAAGTGAATTTGGGGTTGCTTTTTTGAGCAATTCTGCCCCCTTCACCGAAGGGTTATGTGATATGAAATTGTGTACACTGCTAAAATATTTATTGAAATTCAGAGAATTAATGACGTGCACGAGCCGCCTTGGCATAGCGAGGAGGACATGGGCAGTAATTGGCATCGCCTCCTGGACCAGCCGGGTTTCCACGGTTTCCGGGTCTTCCATCATTTCCAGGTGGTCCTCGTCCTCCGGGCTGTCCAGCTGGACCAGGTCCACCGATCTTTCCAGGAGCACCATCTCTTCCCGGGCCTCCAGCATTTCCTGGAGCTCCAACGGGTCCAGCAGGTCCAGGTCTTCCAGGTGTTCCGCTTCCAGTTGTACCAGATCTGCCAGGTTCCCCAGGTCTTCCATCGGATCCCGGGTTTCCTGGTGCTCCCTTGTCTCCGG